AGCAGGTGCAGATTAAGTGAATTTACTTATATGAAAAATAGGGAAAACTAAAAGATAAAGAAAGTGAAACAATTTACATAAGGGGGAGCTGATTTAATAAAAGCCTAAGTGAAGCACCATCTGGATGAAGTTGCAGAAATTGTTGCATATCAAGGCAATTAAGAACTGCAGAACAGAAAAAAACCCTTACTGGCATGTGACAGACAAAAAAGCACAATCTAGGAAAGCTAGAAGTATATAGCTATAGAAGCAAAAAATCAATAAAACCTCTTAGAGTTCTAAAGGGAAACACATACATGGACAGCTGCTCAGGGAATGAAAACAAACATAACGTCCTTTGCTTTTCCTGTATTTGTGCTTAGAATTTTGAGTAATTAAAAATACTTTAAAACTCACCCTTTCATTATTAAACTGAAATAGAGTAAGATGCTAATGCTAATGTAATCCTCTGATTTTATCTGACTGTAGTTTTTAATTACTTCTCTCTCAAGCTGATCACTGAGACAAGCACTTCAGGAAGGACCAGTGCTAAGGAAGGACCAGCCTGGAGGGAAGTCTCCTTTGCAGTGATACTGGTTGGGAGTGCCTGGCTGGAGAGCAGTTCTGCAGGCAAAGCCCTGGGGGCCCTGGTGCACAGTGAGCTGGCTGTGAGCCTGCAGTGCCCTGGCAGTGGTGAGCACCAAAGGGTTGTGCCAGCAGGAGCACAGTTTAAGGGAAGGGAGTATCTCCCTCTAATCTGCACTCATTAATCTGCAGCTCTGCTACTGCCCATTTTGGGTCCCCAGTAAAAGATGCTGATAAACTGAAGTATTCAGCACAAGGCTGCTGAAATGCCTGGGACTTGGGCATCTGTGCCACCAGGGAGTTAAGGGAGCTGGGCCTGATCAGCCTGGAAAAGAGATGGTTGAAGGGGGGCCTAACAGCAGTCTCCAGTGCCTATAGGAAAGATATCAGGGGGTCAGATCCAGGCTCTGTGTGGCAAAAAGACTTAAGACACCGATCACAAATTAATTAACTGTATACCAGTTCAGACTGCATACAAGGAAACATTTTTTCACCATAAAGACAGTCAAGCAAAAGAGCAGATCCAGGCTCTGTCCCAGAGAGTTTTCAATACCTGACTGAATACTGAAATAGCAACAGACAACATTGATTTAACCAACATTGATTTGATCCCACAGCTAATGCTGATTGAAGCAGGAAGTTGGACTAGAAACCTTGAGGTCTCCTGCAACTCAAATTTTCCTACGATCCTGTGAACATCAACTAATGTTGCACAACAGTAAACTACAAACTGTATCAGACAGTAATACATAGATAACTGAATTAAAAAAATATTATTACAGGATTAAAATAAGGTACAACTTCATTTTCACTGTTACCAACATATATAAGCAATACCTTGTAAAATCAGAAATTTAAAATCGTTACAACCAGATTATGAAAAGATTCCAAACTAAGTTTACAAAAACATTCTGAGACAGTCCACTTCAAAATCCCACCCACTCCTGCCATTTAGTAGGCATGCAAAACTCTTCAGGGAATAGAACAGTCAATGGAGCAGCACTAGAATAAAAATTTATTTTCCTCATCTGATATTTTTTCTATTTTTATAAAATGAGACACTCTACCACAAAATTATTTTTAAAACAGATAAAGACAGGCATGAAAGTCAGTCACCCAGAAAGCTACGAATGTGGCAGAACAACAAATTATAAAATCATAAACTGCTGTTAGGCTACTATAAATAAGCAATGCTAATTCAACCATATAAATATATAATTTAACTGAGTGTGCTTATATATACATTTGTTTTTATAAGGCTGAAGAATTTGCATTTGCAGAACAATAGTATTTTGCCAACATCTAAAGTACATGTATTTACAAAAAAAGAAATGTGCAAGACAAAAGAAATATCCTTGAACTGTTAATTTTAAAACTGTAAGGGTAAATAATATAAAACACTCCAGAGAACAATGACAGGTCAGACCAAGTTATTTTCAGTGTTTCCTATTTAAGTGAGATGTTATGCTTAGCATATCGGACCTTGAGATTGTTCTTTTGAGACATCCAATAGTCTGCACTCAGTAAAGAGCACTTTCTCTGGATTTGGTATTCCTCCCTGGGGGCCAGACAGATAAAACTTGGACGTGGTCATACCTACTTAGTAAGTACTTGAAGGCTTAGTTTAAACCTGTGGGCAGCTTTCTTGTAACCTGGTTGCAAATGCTCCAGGGACTGTCTCAGTCATCCTGGTAATTTCAAAATGAGACACTGGTGTTTACTTAAATTACATCTAGTAGTCATTGCATAAGAGCAGGGATTTAAACTTAGGATTTCCTACTCTAAAACATATAAGGTATCACAAATGTGGGGCTTAGTTTTCAGATTAAGACACCTAAATGCGGGTTTGTGGTGGCAAATTGCACACCTAAGCTCATCTTATCACCACTGTTCAGTTGTCTAAGCAGACACATTTAAGTGACAGTGCCACTAAAGATGCTTCAGGGTATCAGAATCATCTACATGAAGAGAGAAAATGTGACACAAGACTTAGAGAAGATCTGCAGTCCTTTGGGGTAGCAGCTAGCTACCCAGACCAAAACACTTGGTTACTTTGCAAGTGTTTCACAGATTAGATATCTCAACCACATGGAGACATCGAAATGTACAGGTCTACCTTTGTGTATTTTCATCTTGAGGCAAGTCCCCTCTTAGTGAAAAATCTCCAGGAAACAAGAGACAACAATCTAGCAAGTATTCTGATTGCAGGGGTTATTGCCCCCACCAAAGCTAAGGTTTTCATTAATGTGGTTCACTGCCCTATTTAATTCTACACTAAGCAGATCAAGAGAGCCCAGCTGACCAGTTAACAGCACTTTTGTGGAGAGGTGAGTGTGTGCCTAGATTGGTGCAATGGCATTGCAAAGGGAACTCTCAATCTGCCTCAACCCTTTCAAAGCTGTGAAACTGTTCCAAATCCCTGTCAGAGCATAAGTGCCATGTAGTTATGTCATCCCTGGATACAAAATCTTGTCTTTCTGTATGCTGTGAAAAAAAAAAAATTTCAAAAATCATGTCTCAAGTGAGCAGTTACTTCAAAATCCACCGAGGATGAATATATTTCCTAAAATATCCATTGTTTTTCCAGTGGCTTAGATAACTTACTGGTGAGGAAGTGCTACGATCTGCAAAGAGGAAAATATGTGTCTCTTTTTGCCTGAGCTGCTTTACTAACAACAAAAATACTTTTTGCCAATTGATGAGCACATAGGGTGTGCAATCTGCGGTTGAAACTTTTCTTCCACACAACAGGCTCGAAACAATATACAATTTGCCATTATATAGATGCCAGTATCCTTCTGCATTTTGTGTCTTTTGCTTACATACTATATTTGAATGAAGCTCTTTAAAAAAAAATTAAAATGAAAATTATTATATCAATTAGATAATTGTTCATTTTTTTTATTCCTCTCCTGTCTGTTTTTGCAATCGTGCTTTCAGTGCTGTGGAGGGAGAAGGAAGAACTGATCCTCCACCAGAATGAAACAAACAAACAAGTAAAGCAACAACAAAAAGGGCACAGTAGTTCCTGAGTGGCTACCAGACTTACAAACTGATGCATTTTCTTTAGTTCGGCTAAACTTATCTGATTTTTCTCACATGACTAATCAGGAACACTTGTTTTGCAAATCAAACATTTCTGTTGGAAGAAAGCTAGAAAAAGGAATTAAACAAATGTTACCATATGACATATCAAATAGGAAGTTTAAGAAACACAACAGGGACCAGTGTCTTAACTAAGAAACTCTCTGGGGAGCCAGTTCACCATCAAAGCAACCTGCTTTCTAAATATCAATGTAATTTACATATATATAAAGCAAAGGTTTATTAAAAAAGAAATGCATTCAAATTAACAAGATAGTGGTGTTTCAGAGAGTTTTCCTGGCATAAAAATTGAGCTGACAAGTTCAAGGGGAAGGAAAAGGACTAATGCTCAAAAGGTTTTGTATTTATAGTGAATACAGATTTCTAGAAGACATTAAAAAATGTTGTTTATCTAATAGAAAAAATAGCAATTCATCATAATAGTTATCCTTTAGATTTATGAAAGACTATGTTTCGGTTAAGATACTGTTGAGCTCACACTTTAAAGACCTTTAAAGATATTTTCTGTTAAATACGTTACTTTAATTATTACTACGAATATAACACCATCACACAGGAAAAAAACATTAAATATCATTTAATTAACATTAAATAAACATACTAGAGATAATATGAAAATATACCAAAGGGGATTTTATCAATATTCATTAATTTTGAACAGAAACATTTAAAGTAACTATTAAAGGATTTTCACTTCTTCAGATTAATCTCTGAAATCATTACTCAGCTCAGAGTGAAATAGGCCTGTTGTACCTCAACTTGTGCTAACACAAGTAAAGCCAAGCAGTTTACAATGAATGTAGGAAAGTTGTGAAACTGAGCATGAGATTTTATTTTGCTCAAGTAGCAACTCATTTGATTATCAGTAACAAAGTCTGTTTTGTAAGAATTTGTACTGATAACTTACCAAGTTTATTTTAAACATTTCTATTTCAGCCAACCAGACAATGATTCTAAATCACAGAGAAGCTATAAAGCTCTTAAAGGAGAAGCATCCTAACTTGGAACCTCTACATATGTATAGTGACTATATTTTAAAGTTCGTAGTGTTTATTTTAAACAGCACCTGAAACAACTTTTTTTGTTCCATTTTCACTGTGTGCACAAACCCCAACACAGTGTTTTCTATTACAAGAAACAGCATTTATTCAAAATAGTACCTAGATTATTATATTTTTTCTACACTCAGAATTGGAAATAAATTGCATTATCTCTGAAACTGCTGTATAGAATAGTAGTTTAAAGTAAATGTTTTCCAAAAAGGGCAATATCTCTGTCTTTTCCAATGCAATCCCACAACAAAAGCACGGTTAAAAAGTAGGCTGCTTGTTTTAATCAACTTGCATTCGACCTGAGTCCAAAAGAACACTCACTCTCCACAAATATAAAGAAAACATCGGGAATTCATCTGAGAGATGAAGAATAATTTGATCAAGGTTCTTCAGAAATTTGATTTTTTCTTCTTCTCCATAGTCTGGGTTTGAAATGTTACTTTCTTCTGTCTCATTTTGAAGAAGTTGTTCCAGAATCATGCACAAAAGAAAAATATTCTCATACTGGGTGATGTCATACACAGACTGGACCTGGGAATACAGAAAAATTAGTACATAAGTAGAGTGTGAAAACATTTCTGCAACCTAACATCTCAGATGACAGTTTAAGGAATACTGTTAAAATTTGCAGTATTATTTATACAACCAAGACACATATACATTCAGTATGATTTCTTCTAAAAAATGGTTTCCTTTTTGTGGTAACAGTCAAACAACTAACACTGCATCAAACTACCAAATGAAAAGTCAACATAACCTCCTCTTCATGAGAGAGTTTGCTTTACCTAATTATCCACAGGATGTGACATACAATAGTGATGTAAAGAAAAATAACTACAATGACAGCTTTGTTTGTTTTGGGCATATAATTAGAATTGGTGGATTTCTGTTTTCTAAGAAATAAAATAAAGAGCAAAAAAGAATTTTTTACTCCTAAATGTAGACACTCATCTATTCAAGTGATACCTCCAGAAAGCAAATTAAAAGTCCAAATTCTCAATCTCAATAGAAAATGCACAAGCCAGTTCTGAGCCACTTAAAGAGGAATATTCAGTTCGTCAAATAAGCTGTAACAAGGACACTGACCAAACTAAAAAATTTTTAGAAGTCTTACAGCTTTATCCTGTATAAATTTAGCTGTCCTGTGTTTAGAAACTGGAATTTTACACAGAAGCTTTCTGTACATAGGAAACAACTGGTAACATACAAACTTAAACCTTGGAGAATTGTCTCTCTAGAATGAAATTTTGTGTCCTTAACAGCAAAATCTACCAATATTATGATACTGTATATACTGCATATATATAATATACTGTATATTATGTACTGTATATATACCTATATATGACCTTGTTCTGCAAAAGGCTGCAATTACTGTAGGTGGATGACCAGAACTGGAAGATAAAATCATAGCTGCTAGAAAACTAATTATGTATTTTAGAAAATGGACCAATAGCTCTAGCAAATCTAAAAACCTGTTTAGACCTGTGGTACAAAGTCAGATGGGTCAAAGCTTCAACATGGGTCTATGAAAATGCATCAAATCATTTTACTCAGTCTAGATTACATACTGTAAGACTTTCCAAAGTGTGAAGTCCATTATACAATCATTGGTTTTACAAAAACTGTAACTTATTTTTGATTCCACTAGAGTCTAAGAAAAAGACAGCATTTTACCTTCTCCAGCTAAAACTGAGGAAGATGTCAACTCATAGATTCCTAACTTTGCTTTCCTGAGATAGTAGTTATTAAACCTAAAATCTGTGTTGAAGCACCCTGGGGTAATGGTTTTCAGGTAGCCTCCCACTTCAGAGACAAAATTAAGACACCACAGCCACCCTATTGCAAAGCCTCAATGTAGCAAAAGAATACTGCTGTGTTTTCTAGAAATCTTGAAGATTAAGTTTGTTACTAAAACATTTTATCCCTAGCCTTGCACACTCCTATTCTGTCTCTCTGGAACCTGGTAAGAAAAATGTACGGAAGTTCTATGTTCTTAGTTACTGTAATTTGGAAATTAGATGAACAATATTAAAAGCAAAAAATCTTTGTTTGACTCACAAGTGTTGGCCTTGAAAATTCACTCCTTTTACATGAGTAATCAATATAAAATGTTTTAGAGAGGCAAATTACGTCACTTCACTTACTCCCATAACCTCAGGCTCTTCCATGCAGTTAAGCAATTGTGCTTGGGTCTTAAAAAGTGCACCTAATTGCAGCTTAATATTCTATCTGATTATGGATAATAGACTCCGCAAGTTAACTAATTAGCTTCCTCTACAAATACTACTGTGTTAAAAGAAAATTGTTTTAATCACACAGAACTGACATTAAAGACAAAGGGTAAGTATGAAGGCAAGGAGGAAGTATTTTTTGACACAATTATTTTTTTGGAGACAAATGCACTTTGAAATATTGCATTATATAACTGAGGGCGAAAAAATCGGTCTAGAACATTTTCTGGCTCAAGGCTTATTATTAACCTTTCCAATCCATTTAATAATGTGAACAGAATGTGTCTGTTTCTTTTGTTAGATGTCTTCTGTAGCACTGATTGATGCAATTACTACCAATGCAAATTTATGCCACAAAATTGGTAAAGGGATGCCTTTATTTGTATCATACATCAATGTGTGTGAGTGGGTAGCTGTGCACATATGTGTACACACCAGAACGTTCAGAGAGTATGTCTATAAAGCATATCTATATATATCTACATATCTCTCTTTCTCTCTCTATATGTATATATATATATGCTGCTATTCCAGAATATATTAATATCCACTTTAAGTAACTTTAACACTAACTCTGTTTTTCAGAATCAGTTTTAAGATAATCACTCTTACAAATCAAAAAGGTAAGCAATATGGATTTTGGATGCTATGAGATCAGTCCTCATCAATTTTGCCTCACCAAGTACTTGGAAATGTGTTTTGTAGTAGTAATAGGCATTTTTCATGTACCTTAGTTTTTAATTTAACTTTTGAAACTATTTTCTTATTATGATTTCTCAATACAAATAAACTTTTGAGAGCTAAATAATTTCAAAAAATATTATTTATATAAAATTAAGCTTTACATAAGATGGAAACAATGGCTACAAGGATTTCCTAGATGGACCTGATGCTCATCAGAATTAATTGTATTTACATCACCAGGTTCAGAATGCAAGAAGTGTCAAAATGTTTGGCTGAAATTAATTCTCCAAGCTTCTTCTACATTTCATGGTGACCACCTGGAAGTAGACACATATTTACTACACAATTTGAAAGCAGAGAAGAAGTTCTCTTACCTGTATAATGAAGAATCATTATAATGCTATCACAGTCAGTACTAATATGCTAAAGGAACTGCTTTATTTCAGATCCCTGGACCTTTATTCCTCTTTGCAAAACAACAGATCAGGTGCCCCCAGATCAAATTCCAAGCTGCTGCTGTCTTACTGGACAGATTTGGAGTCTTGGTAAACAGATTAGGAAACAGATTCCTAATTGCACTTAGAATATTTTTGGTTTCCTGCCTTAATGGTTTATGCACATTTATATAATTTATTCAAATGCCATTAGTATCAGCAATACAAAACAAGTAAAGTAATTGAAGGAATTCTCTACAATTCTTAAGTCATGTCACCAGCCACAAGTCATATTTCCAGTGACACAGTCTGTTGGGCCTGGAATTTTCACATGCAGAAGGCTGATGACACTTTCTGAGTATAAGCAGGTAAGTTTTATTCCTTTTACATCTCAAAGGATGTACAGGACAAAGACAATACTTTACCAGTGCAAACAAAAATTAGATGAAAGAGTATATTTATGGCAACTGCTTCTATGGAGCTCAGATGCCTGTGTACACAACACCTGTATGCTCTTTGGAATATTTGAGGAATGGCACTAACATGAGAAAACTTCTTGTTTTGGTTTAGAAAAGAGGATTATTTAAATGCTGGAACTTCTGACAAAATGAAAACAATTAAAATTAATTTTGAAGCACCATTATGTTTGATTACAGACAAAAAGCTTCCCTCCTTTTCTATCTCTATAATTTAGTTAACATCTATTTAGGCTTTTTATGTCCTATGGCAACACCAAGTTTAAATATATGTTTCAACAAGTAATTCTATACAACAAAATGCTACTTAAAACACTGACATAAGGAACATGTCCTGATATGTGGAAAGATTAGTGTTTATTTAGAAAGTTATAAAATTGACACTTCTAGTTATTTTAGCAGAAAAGTATTCTGCCTAGATCTCCCAATCCTAACATAGCCTAACAGTTTTGTTTCTTGTAATTTTTTTTTACGAGTTTTGCCTCTTCCATTTCTTGGAAAACCTCTGCTATTCAGCAGGGATATAACTTTTCATGCTAGCAAAGCATCCTTCCTATGTTTCAAGAAATTCTAAGTAAAATTTCACTGAAACATCAAGTGTTAAAAGGTAGTATTTCTCCTCTTTTACATGCGTATTTTTCAGACAAGCTTAAAGGGTAGACTGAAATACACAACAAGAACTGCTGCAGCTTGGCTAGTTTTGCCTTCCAATGGAAGCACAGGCAGCAGGAATTGCAGCAGCTTCAGCTGCTTGGCTGTGACTACTTAGTTAAGGAGCATGAAGGATAGAACACAACCAAATCTGCCATCTAGCCATTTCCAGGAAAAATCCCTCATGGCCTGTCTGTCCCCTCTTCAGGCAAGGAAATGTAGACAAAGTTTATAGAAATTTAGAGAAGGTGGAAACAAGGAGCATACATCTCTCTTTACATAGTCTATATCAACAAACACCATCTCAGCCAACAGTCCCTGTGCTCCCTTGTTTCTTTGCAGGTGGGTACACATACACATGCAGACTGAATTCTGGGCAAGATTAAAATTCATGGGCTAGGAGGCCACAGGGCAAGTGGAAGCTGATGTCCCACAGGAACATGGAACATGGGACTTGTCTACCACTTGAAAATGTCTGAAGAGAAGCAAGCCTGTTAAAAAATGTCTGAGCTTGATTTACGTGCTTCTAGAGACGCACAGTCCTGGGTGTGCTGTTTACTCCAACTCTTTTTTTTGTTGTTGGTTCATTTCATTTTCTGCCTTGGCTTTTTGGTGTTAAGAGGGGATACTCCATCTAGAACTAAGAGGCAGGTGACTGAGACTAAAGAATACTAAATGCAATCACTGATGCTCACATAAACTTACCTCTCTGTGCTCATGATGTCTGCATATGGGAGGGAGACTGCAATACTTTTCTGCATTTTAACACTACAGTTCTAATGAGTATATAACTACAAAAGTTCCCATATGGAGCAATAGTTGAGAGCATATCTTTTAAGAAAAATGTTTCTAAATCAGCATAATGAAAAAGAAGAAAAATGTGACTGACTGGCTCTAGTGACTGACTCAATCAACAATTGTTCACCATTTGGTAAATTTTGTGTTTACGAAGGGAATCTAAGTTTTCAGTAAAAAATCTAAGTTTTCAGTAGAATCAACGCTGTTTTACTCTACTCATCCAGTCTAGGTTGGAGGTTAATGGAAATATGTTT